CGCGCCTTCCCCTGCGCCCCCCCGGGCCCTGCGCCCCAGGAGCAGAGGGGACCCTGCCTGCGGCTCAGCTCCTCCGCCAAGGACCGGACCGTCCCCAGCAGCCAGGGCCACCCGGGAGGCGGACAAGAGGCTGATCCGATCAGTCTGTTGAACAGGAAAAGAGTTTACTTGTCCTAAAAGGCTACAGACCAGGAATTTTACGAAGCCATTAATTACTTACTAATAATTAAATGAAAATTAAATGTGAACAGTGGTGCACATTCCTTATTAAAAGCAATTAAACAGAAAGCACAGATACACAAATAAAAAATTACTCTGGGGCTGGAAAAGAAAGAAAATCAAATAAAAACTAGCCCGTAATAAAGGCGCACTCTGTTTGCTCCAACTCATAAAGCCCGAGTTCATCAATTTTCTTTAAATATTAGCAACTTAATTAAATCTGCCTTTTTCCCTTTAATCCTCTCCTCTATCTAAAATAGATCTGTCCACATGCAGAAGTTTGTAACTAGTGCTGACCCCATAATTCTATTTAAAAAACCCAAAGAAATCCACATCAAACTGACAGCAGCCTCAGGGGAAATTACAGTTCAGAAGAAGGATTAAGCTGGAGAACCTAGATTTTATGGAAATGGTATCGGCCCTTCAAAAAGCACACGTAGGTGTGCAAGAGGCATCCAGGGAGGGCAAGCCCCAGCTGCACCGCAGGGTGCCACGGGTCCCTGGCGCAGGACGGCTCCCGGACCCACGGGCTGTACCAGGAGGGGTGGCCGCTGGCCTGCTGCCCAGGGAAGCCAGGGGCCACCCCAGCCCCAGGCAGGCACCCCTGCTGCTCCCATCCCCAGGGAAGAGCTGGGCCCCGGGTCGCTCTCAGCCCTCGGGAGCGATATTCACGGGAATGGTTTCAGTGGGGCTGGCTGTTTATTCTGGGCGGGCGATGCAGCGAATGGTGTGGAAAGGGGCTGTAAAATGGGTTGGTTGTGGGTTCCCGGGCTGGTTTCAGAGATGAGGCAGTTGCTAGGCTACCTCTGGAGTTTGACAGGGCCTGATGCTCCTGGTCGCTTCCCAGGGGAGCTGTGAATTAGCTGTAACTACATTGAGCATCGCAGCAGAAGAGTGCGGCTTTCGAGTGTCTGCTGGAATGGACACAAATCACCACTGAGATCCCAGCTGGCCCCTAGCCAAAAAGCCCATTTCCAAGCCTCCTCCAGACTCATGACCAGACATCTGAGGCCATCAGACAGCCCCGCTGCACGAGCTTTTGGGTGCTTTCCTTTGGGGAGCGCCCATGCCCCCACCGGGCAGCTCTAGCTGGCTTGCAGCACGCTCCTCTGGCTGGTCCCAGGACTGCCGGAGGGAGACCAGGGCTTTTCTGGCACAGGGAGCCCCGTGTGCTGCAGTGACCGCCATGGCACCTTCTCACAGCAGGGCAGGATGCGCTGGTTACAAGAAGGCCGAAACCTCTCCATGCCCCTCCCTGAAGTCCATCGGTGCCGCCGCCTGTGAGGAGCCCGGCGAGGGCCTGGCAGGGAGCAGCAGCACAGGCCTGACGGGTGTAGCTCCTGGCCAACCATCACCAGTGCTGGCCCTCAGAGCCCCCCCAAGCCCCGCACACCCACACCAGGCACCTTCCGCACCACGCTGTGCGCGCCAGACCAAGAGACACAAACCCTGCACTGAGCTTGCTCTGGGTACAAGCAAGAACAGGATTTGCGTGCCACAACCAGCGTGGGACACCTGCCCCAGCAGCCCCAGCCTGCAGAGGGAATTGGCTAGGAAACAGCCTGCTGTGGCCCGCAGGGCCAACAGAGCACAGTCCTTCCAGGAGCAGGAGGGAGCCACAGGCAGGGGCCCCAAAACAAGACCCAGCACATTATCTCCGCACTGAAAGGGCTGCAGGACCAGGAACGCCAGGGTTGCACCTACAGTGGCAGCTGCTGGGGCAGGG